CGCACATAAATAAGTTATGGATGTGGGATATATGGGACCACGACGCGTGCACCGGACCACGCTTGATATTTGGGGAACTCGATGGTGCATTTGGAGTATGCATTTGAAGTACACTTCGAATTGGGACAGCCGTCGTCGGGTGGCGGTGACGTAATCGCACTTAAAATGCGTACTTCAAGCGTGCAGACCCTGAATTGGGACACAGCCTAGGAGTGCTTCACTCTAAAGAGCTCACAGATTTCCTGCATGGTACTGTAGTAGGAGGCCACCATTGCAACAAGTCAGTTTGTGAAATTCCACGATCAACTGTAAAGCACTTGGGAACCACAGCAACTCAGCCATGGAGTGGCAGATCATGTAAAGTAACGGGGCAGAGGTGCTGAGGCATACAATGCATCAAAGTTGCCAGCACTCTGCTGAGTCAGTCAATAAACAGTTCCACGCCTCCTCGGGCACTAAAATCAGCACGAAAACAGCACCAGGAGCATCATGTCATGGGTTTCCACAGCCGGGCGACTCCTGTAGGTGTAATGTGTAGGTGCCCAGTACTTTTGTCCATATATTGTATGTATTAGCTGGGTTGTGTAGTTTTCTAACTTGAAAAACATAATGATGTTACATGTAGCTTTTATTTGCCACACAAGTTGCTTCATTCTTCCTCCTGAAAAAAGGAGCTGTAGATTCATTAGTCTTTCAGTTCTTCAAGGCCTTACAGCTCTTATTGTTCAAGAGAGCAGTGAATTGTTTTCATTTTCAATATGGGCGGGACGTCTCTCTATGTGTGCCATTTAATGTTTTTTTGTATATGTGGGTGTGTTCGTGCTTTAGTAGAGCTGGTTCCATAAATGCACAGCTAAAATAAGGTCTCACTCACTTCCTCTTTGAAAAAAGTGTTGCGAGTTCAGTCAGTAACAGGAGCTCTTCTATAAATAATCTAGCAGCGATTTATGAGTCACATCATATGTTTGGATTTGTGCTTGCAAAAATAAAAATATATATATATATATAAATTATTTTAATCTGTGATTTTTCTGCATTTCAGTTAAAAGGAAAGAATGGTGTGGAGTTTCTGTTGCAATATGACACCGAAAGCATCATCACTGACTGGCATAAAGTCTTAGTGGACACCATAAGGCAACTTGTAAGTCTTTAAACTGCTTTCACAGAATAATCAAAATTAGGCTGCATTAAAATGGTTTAATAGCTTATTTGTCTTCGATTTTTTTCTTATACAAAAATATTAAATTTGCATCTGTTTATAGAAGTTGATCTGTTCCACTTCCTGTTAATAACATTGTGTAGATATTCACTCCAATTCAGCTCCTACACAAAACAAACCCACATATTTCATCAAGTTTCTTAAATTTTGTATCAATAAATGGCATAAATCAACACCTACAGGGAGCCAGATTTTGACCACGAAAGCTTAATGGCACCCGACGGTAACTAGACATTAGAAGATCACAACAGAAACTTCTGGTTGTTGTGGTTGACGGTGATGATGACAGGAGGCAGATCTCTGCTGCTGCTCCTTTACGCCTGAAGTCCCTAATAATTAGTGTTAAATACCCAAAGGTAAACAAGTAGAACTTGCTCAAAGTTTAAGAAAAAAACTTTGCCGTGTCAACAAATGTACTCATGTTTCAGCTCAGTAGAAGCCTTAAACATTGCTTATTTGCCAATGAAGTTTTGTGTAAGTGCTATATTTGGATATTCAACATCTGAGCTTCATGCTTTTGGATTAGCACAGATGAGTACACTGGGAAAGCAAACATAACTTTATGGGACTGTATTTTGGGCTATACCTCCAAACGGGTGCCATTTATTCTGGACAATCTTGCAAGCGACTCCTACAACGCTGGATGTCCAGAGACCGGGAGCTGGATGTTCTTTGGCTCTTTGGCTCTAGACTACTGGCGTAACTCTGGCTAAAAACAAAAATCAATTAAAACTAATATCAAGTTCATTTAATGTGTAGAAAACCACAGCATTAGAAAACACACAATTGTCTCACATTTTTTCCTAGTTAAGAAGCTAATAGATTTCTATTTTTAGCTACGTGGTCACTAGATGGAACATTTCTTTTAAAAAAAAAGTAAAATTAGAAAAACTCTACATCAACATTCATTTGTTTTGATTGTCTATGTTTACCAGGAGTACCAGGAACATCATTCTGAGGAGGAGGATGCAGACATTTATGAAAAGATCCCCAACACAGATGAGAAGGTGGGAGGTGCCATAGACAAGAGAAAATGTAAGTACAGCTTCTTCTACTTCAGCAAAAAAAAAAAAGCAAATTATCTCTGATTTTAACTGTGGCATGAGCAGAATAACGATTGTGCTTCAGTTAGATAGATAAGACATTTGTGAGCTACCCTCCCATCCTTTTTAAATGTCTATTGTTGCTATCTTTAGCAAGGGGAAGTGTTACAAGTACAGCTGCAACCACCACTGCAGCAGAAACAGAGCAGAAGAAGGTCCGAACCAAACTGATGAAGTTCCTCATGAAGCGTCCCACGTTGCAGACGGTCAAAGAAAAAGGCTACATCAGAGGTGATTTCAGACGAGGAAATGTAGAGCTTTGTTGTCATTTGCAGGCTTTGGCTGATTTGAATAGGAGGGAAAAATCAGACTTTGTACCTCCCAAACACTGAGCACTGATGTTGTGCTTATATCAGCATTTAAATACGAGCTGCTTTGAATTTTCCTACCTGCTTTTCAGTTCAGTTCACTTCTGTTTAGAGCTGATTTCTAGTGCATGGACAGCAAAATGGCAAAGCAAACACAATGAAATTCTAAGGAAGTGTGTAATATAGCCATGCTTTCATCCAACTAGATGTCTTAAAGAGTTATGAGTATATTTAATATTCATTTCTGATATTGTGTGTAATCAAAGTCTTCTAATTCTTTGCAGAAAATGTCTTTGGTTGTGACCTTGCGACATTGTGCGCACATGAAAAGACTACAGTACCGAGTTTTGTAGAGAAATGTATTAATGCAGTGGAAAGGCGAGGTAACACCTTATTTATATCACAGTGGAATAATTACAAAGTATATCTTCCTGTGTGCGTGATCAAGCAGCTGACCCGCTGGTGCTTACTTGCTGATTTCTAGGTCTGGATATTGATGGACTCTACAGAGTCAGTGGGAACCTCGCTGTCATTCAGAAACTGCGCTTCAAGGCCGATCACGGTAAAATCAATCAATGTGTTAAACTAATTAATTCAGTCAGTCACCTCACGGGCAGGGAACATACTGTGGTGTTGATCTCATAGGCTCATTTTAGACAGCAGTGACCCCTGCTGGGTTTTAATAGCAAGTGCATGTGTTGTGTTTAAACAGATGAACTGGACCTCGAGGACGGTCAGTGGGAAGATGTTCACGTCATCACTGGAGCGCTGAAGTTATTTTTCCGGGAGCTTTCTGAGCCGCTTTTCCCATACAGCCACTTTAATAAGTTCATCTCAGCCATCAGTGAGCATTCTTTAACAATAAGCCTAATTCTAAGCGCTATATCCTCAATTTTTACAGGTGAAATTGCAGTGAGTGTTGCCATCGATCATTAACAATTGTTATGTATTTCTAGGAATTGGTGATTTCAACACAAAACGGGATCACATGTATGACTTGATCCAGTCACTTCCTGCTCCAAACCACGACACCATGAAGCTTCTATTCGGGCATTTACACAGGTTTGTGACACTTTACTTTTCTGTCCTCTGCATTTTATCTTTTGTTTATTTATTTATTTTGCTTACTGTACTTACTTTCATATTGAAATTGAGAGGATTTGTCATAATTATTGAATTTCTTTCACAGGGTTATTGAATATGGGCAGGATAATCGTATGACTGTACAGAATGTGGCAATTGTGTTCGGCCCAACGCTGCTTCGGCCGGAGATGGAGTCGGGGAATATCGCGATGCACATGGTCTTCCAGAACCAGATAGTGGAGTTCGTCCTGAACGAATACAACTATCTCTTCCAATAAACAGGAACAAACCTCCAGTACAGACCTGGGCCAACATGTAAATGTGGTCAAATTGTTTAAAGAGATAGATTTACCTTTGCATTTGCACATCAGCAGCTTCAGTGTGCGACCTGGAAAGTTAAACTCCTTCTGTAAAATATGTGAAAGGGGTCTTTCAAGTTTATTCAGACTAGGAAAGGGATCTTCACGTGCTCATCGCTGAGGATATTTGAAGCATGTTTAACCACTGTTTTATCTGGATTTTCTCTGTCGTGTGCAGCTTACACCGTTAGACCCTACGTTGGCAGTATTGCAGGAGAGGAAGTCGAGCTACATGGGTGTTGACAGGTGTTGTTTGGTTTACCGTTTCAAAGCCACTGAGCTTGTTTTGTGTGTGTGTGTGTGTGTGTGTGTGTGTGTGTGGAGTAAAGACTGTAACAAATTGCTCTCCCTCCCTGGAACTCTAGGTGTCTAAATCTCACAAGTCACTTTCTGGAGATTTTATTTTATTGCTTTTTTTTGTTTTGGTTTATCTAAATCTCAGTGATAATAGAACCAATAGGTCAAACTCGGAGAAATGCATTAATTCTCTCTTTAGCAAATTTTCTTTTATTGCTTTTATCTTTATTTTTTAGTAATTTACAGTTTATCACTCATGGCAATATCTGAGATTCTATGCTAATATTGTTTCTTCTCTTTCGGCCTCATTTTTGCGCAGGAATCTTATTGTAATATAGAAATGTGTAAAAAAAATATATTAATACTTCTTGCTATGAAATAGATGATGGTGACTTAGAGTACTTGTGCAACTTGTAGATTATTTTCAACTGAAAACATCATTTTTCAATCATGCTGTACTTGAAGAAATTGTATAATAACAGCACAGAGATATAAAGTAGCAACAGTTTGAAATTCAGAACAGAAACATGGATTGTAGAAGAGCTTTATGACATGTAAATAGAAATAGATGGCATATTTATGCTTCAAGTTGGTGAAAATGCACAAGTTATTCCATAATAAAATAACTTTGTTAAAAAAAAGGTTTATGTGTGTATGTTTGTTTCTTGCAATCATGTGTTTATAAGCTATAAATGGGAGAAATACATTTAAGAATTTGTTCAACTGAGTTTTTTCATTAAAGGTGGCCTGTTACACTTGTCATGTATATTTTTATAATTGTGGATGTTCTCATAAATAATAATTTCCAAGGTTTCAAATAATGGGGTCAACATATATACAAGTAAACCATGTTATTCAAAAGTTCAAGCCTCAGACTGCTTTAAGCCCTCAGCTTGAAACAATTTTTCTACTCTTTGATTTGAGTTATCTTATCATTTTATGAAAATTTTAACTAAATATTAATCTAAAGTGAAAAACACTTTCGGTTAAATTAATATTCGACATTTGTTGAATAAAAAGGATTGCGTCATTATTCACTTTTAACTGTTCTTCAAATATTTTATTGTCAAAGCAAATGGTTGCACAACTATTGTACAATTGCAATTTAACAAACTCTGATTACGCGTGCTGAAGAGGCTGAGGAAATAAAATGCTTATTTTATAAAAGGCTTTATAAATGCCAAAAGGTGTAACTTAAATATTAAATATTTAACACGGGTACGGGTCTTTAATTTAATCTACAAAGTACATTTAAAAAATCATAAAGCTGAATTTTTTTGTAAATGCTGAGGTCTAAGTAAAAACAACAACAACAACGAAAACAAAAAAAAAGTTAGAGAAAGAAATCTTTCTTCTTGCGATCCCCCAAATCGGAAGTTTATGAGTCGGACCATTTGGGAGGTTGGACGCGTTTCCGGGAGCTGTCAGCTGTGAGCACCCAACATATCCACTGCAATGAGTTTTGAGTGGCCGTGGCAGTACAATTTTCCACCGTTTTTCACGTGAGTCAGATGTTTCTGAGTCTTTTTCAGAGCAGAGCTTGTGAACACGTAACTCAGTTTTCAGTGTTTATTCATTTATGAGTCGGTGAACGCTGATTTTCGTGCTAGCATCATGTTAGCACGCCAGCTAGCCAAACGAAACAGACTGCTAGGGAAGTGATTTTGCACTCACTGGCTTTCTGAAGTTTATTTAAAGTCTTTCTCGGTTTGTCTCAGTGGCTCGTTAAGGCTAGACTTCAGGGGGCTATATTAATATATTTTTTTTTTAACAGGCAAACAGTTCATCGTCGTGTGTTTGAATTTTGGGATTTCCACTGTTATCACGAGTGAGCTTATTTAATGGGATGAGCTGCGAGATAGCAAGAACTCCAACTAGTTATCACCTAAAGACTTGCACGTTTTGGTGTAATAAAAGTCAGGAAGACCTCAGTGCTGAAATCCCTGTAAAACACTGCTGTCCCGATAAATCACCGAGAGAGCAACTTCCCGAAAGGGACATTTAAAGGGGCTGCTATTGTCTAGGTGGTCAAATATGATAGGGTAGGCTTGCAATAAAAGACTGGTTTTATACATGAAATGTAAAAAATGACGTTTAACCCGTTACAATATGACAGATATTAGGAAAGCAGCACATATGTATATACTTAAAAATGGAACACTTTGCTCTTATCTTAATCCCAGGTCAGTGTTAACACATCTGCCTATGGGTGCAGTTTGTCTTTTGTATTAAGTTTGTATTATGTTGCCAAACATTGCTCCTGCCTGCAAGAACACAAAATCAGGCAAAACGTTAGATTCTCATTTTAATCACTGTCCTTGCAATTAAAAGTCTTTAAGTAAAATCTGGCCATCTACTGTCTTCTGCTTATTCTATATTACTGGCTTTTACTGGCTCAAAATAGGCTGGCAATTGAGTTTTTTCAGGTACATTGATCTAGAACCAATTTCAAACAACCATCACCTCAAGGCACTTTATATTATAAGGTAACGATGGTGTAATTTTGGAGAGAACATCCCAATGATCCATTCCTTCCCTATCCCTTCTGAACCCAAGCTAGGAGCCGTTTGCACAGGAGACGATACTGATAATTGAAGGCTCTGTCGCTATAATACTTTTACAAACTCTAGGAACTGCAAGTAACGTTATAGTCTCAGAGCAAGGTGCTCTGTTGGCAGGATATGATGCAATGAGGCCTGTAACAGATGATCAGAGTTGTAACCAATGGACTGGTGGCTCAGGGCGGGCACAAAGACTGTGAATCAAACTGGCTGAAGTGGACCCAAACTGATGAGTAGTTTTCCCTATAGCCAGTGTTTTCACTCTAAAATATCAATAAATCATTAAACCACCTGTTTGCATAGTTTAAATGTGAAGAAGACTTTTGTTTTTAGAATGTCTCATATACCCCTTGTTTGTTTTGCACATCAATAGCACAGCTAAATTAAGAAGAAGCTAAAATAAAAGCTGTCTCTATGTGGGTAAACTGACAGATCTTTAAATTTGGCAGATTTCTTGTAGACTTTGCTGTACCTGGAAAGCAGCCACCTCTTTTTAGCAGCAATACCTAGAACATGCAGGGGGGGAATCTAAAAATATATATGTATTTTTCTGATGTTGATTTATTATCTAAAATCTAAATCTACTAAGAAATTATGCCACATTCTTATAGATTAAGTCAGCAGTATATAAAGTAATTAAAATGGCTTTTTTTTTTTTTTAGATCAGTAAAACTATACAAGGGGTCAGTATGTTGGACACTGATGTTGGGGCCTGATGAGTCAAGACTTCAGGAGAAAGATTTTAAATAAACATCTTTTATTCTGGAACCAATGAAGAAAAGTAAAGAATTATTCATTATAAAACATTAAATGCTTCCTAGATAAAGGCTTTTCGAGCAAACTGACTTTAATTAGAAATGCAGCATTCATAAAAAGGCTTGACTATGTGATTAACGCTGTTTATGGGTAAGGAAAAATGTGTTTGTGTCTTTAACGTGCATTAAGTTTATTTTGCCCAAGCATTTGCGGTAATCTTTGCAGTAATCTCTTTGTGTTCTTTTCTGACAGACTACAGCCCAATGTTGACACGAGACAGAAGCAGCTGGCGGCATGGTGCTCACTGGCTCTGTCCTATTGCCGGCATCACAAGCTCTACACGCTGGATGTCATGGAGGCTCAGGAAAGCCCCATGTTCAACAACAAGAAGATAGAACGTATCCTGAAAGTCAACCTGTGGTTTCTTTTTAAGGGAGTGTTCAATTATTTTAATGTTTTTTTTTTTTGTTTTTAGTTTAAATCCTTTATTTTTTATATATTACAATTGCTAAATCTCTTGTGAAGAGTTTATAGTTCAGAGATATTAATATTGACACAGATTGCAGTCACTGTAGGATTTTCCTGGAGTTTTTAGGACAGAGCCACCTCCCCCTTTCTCTCTCTGCTTGACTGATTAATTTTGAGGTTTCCCTCTTGATTCGGGCCTGATACAAAGCTGTCTTCAGAGACTGAGGCCATAACATGATCACTGAATTTTATTTCCCAGCTAATCTGTGCTGAGGGCAAGATAAGGCATTTTAAACACAACTGGCATGAAGACACTTATTGTGCCATTGCACATTAGCCTTAACTGAATCCCAGGAAAACTGTCAATGGAAGCAATTCAAGTTGTTTTTGAGGAACTGAGGAAAAAAGGTGAATTTTATTCACTTTACCTGCCAGCATAGTGTCATGATAAGAAAATATATCTTATTGTGTAATGTTGATAAGTGAAAAGCATTCTTGTTGTCTTCAGGCAACCTCGAGTGGTTGGACAAAAACAAGTCTCGGTGTTTAGTCATGTGGAGACGACCAGAGGAATGGGGCAAGTTAATATATCAGTGGGTGAGTCATCAAATTACAACACATACTGCCACAAACTGTTCTTTTTTTTTTTTGCACATTTATGCAGCTGATAACAGGATGAGGTTTATTTCAACCTCACGATATTGTTCATTATTGCAATGTTGTGATAATCACAGTATAAAACCATTAATATCTACACTATAATAAAAACTAAAAAGGGGAAAGACAAGCTCATGTATCTTATCTATGCTTATGTAACCAGCACACAGACATCACACAGAATCACTATCGCTGTGGCAGCAGAACAGTAGCATTAAAGGACAGATTATAAGAAACAAAGTGTTATGTACTTAAAATCTCATGAAAAAAAGCAAGAAATCGGTGCATGTTCTTTATCTATCACCTCAACTCTTTATTTAATCCCTGTTGAACTCGGCAAGTGTCTTGCTAGGGACCTGAGTAAGTGCACTTCTGGCTTTCATGCTGTTTTGATGAGCAGTTCTTATGTTTTGGCTGAAAGTTGTTGTTTTTACCAGCGTTTTCCCTGCAGTGACTGCAGTCTGATTGCATAGACAATATCAAAGTTGGATGTATTCACCATTATGTCATCCATTGGTTTATTAAGGTTTTGTGCTTTTTTTTTCCCCCTGATGTTTTAAAACTAGAAATGATGAATGAGCAGTGATGGGTAAGATGTTAGTAAATGGGGATAACCTGGGTACTCCTCCTGTCCAACTCTAAGAACATCTGTAATTTACAAAATAAGCTTGAGGTTTTTATTAAGATGGTCTGAAAGGAGTGACTAAGCCCAAAAACTCATTAGGAAAGTGTTTACTGAGTCACAGAGCAGAAACAACCAACACTTGTTCTCCCATACACTTTTATACAACTTGAACTCTTTTTACTGCCCTCTGTTGATCATTAGCAAAAATGCATGTTTAAGGCCACACTGTTTATCCCTGCTTCACTCTGTTTAGAGTGACTGGCACACATGGATATAGAAACATATATCTTCAGCTGTTTTACAAGGTCATTCATTGATATTACCGCATCCCCAACCAAGAAAATCCATAAACCTTTTTCTTTAACTCTTTACCTCCAAAACTATGACTGTCTGATTATTGGGGTTTTCCCTCGAGTATTTGTAAAATAAAACACCTTAAAAAGATTCTTCTTGTGAGTTGATGCTATATAATTAAACTTTAAACTGCAAAATGAAGATCTGAAGACTTTTCTGAACTTTATTTTTAGAATATCAACTCTCATTCTCACAATATCATACAATTGATTGTCCCAAAAATCAGAATAGAATTAGGAAAAAAGGCTTTTAAATACGCTGCCCCTGTTTCCTGGAATAATCAGCAGAAGGAACTGAAATTGTTAGAATTGGTTACCTTGTGGGAGTTTAATCCCATCTTAAAGGAACAAAAGAATTACCTTTTTACTCGGTGTGATTGTTTTTAATGTCGCTCTTAATTGATCTGTTATTGTATATTTTTCATGTTTGTGTGGGATATTGTATTTGTTTTAAATGTTATGTACTGATCTGGTCATTTTGTTGCCATGACGGCAGGTCTCTCTTCGAAATGACAATTTTAATCTCAGTGAGAGTTTTACCTGGATAAATAAAGAACTAATAAAAACATCAAAATGAATTAAAACCAAGCCTTAACCAAACAAGTCTTCAAAGTAAGGGGCCAGAAAGTTTTAACTTCTCATCCTTCAGGTAGTCTATAACTCTCATAAATATAGCTGATCAGGTACACTATATTTTCGTTTATATATTTATATCATTTTACCTATTTATTGCCTTTAGCCTGACAAATTACTTAAATCATTTTGTTTGGTTGCAGTTCTTGTAAAAACTGGACCCCACACGCTGCCTGTTCTGAACCCACATTTTGAACAACGATTATTCCTTTCTGTCTGTTCTCTCTTCAAAACAGAAACTTAATGATTAACTGCATGCGATGCATTTAGAAGAAATGGCAGCTTTAAAAAACACCTGTTTCACTTTCTCCAACTTTAAGTCAGTTTAATTCAGTTTCTGCTTTTCTTTTTCTTTTTTTTCTTTTTTTTTGTACATTCAGGTTATAAGACTGTTTACCACTTCATGTGTCAGATTAAGAAATTATATTAAAATAGAATAAGACTTGTGGTCAAGGTTCCAAATTAGTACCTACAAAGATCCAAATGGGTATAGTTTTTTTTCCCCCCAAGTCTGGGAAGCCTATCAGCTACATGTCTGTAGGGGGGGGAAATTATCATGTAATAAAAAGTATCTAGTGCGTTTTGATGCCATTTACAGATGTGCCGTATTCTTTCTTGTGCTGTTCATGATAGAGATTGGCACACAGGTGGTGTTGGTGAAGGTTACTGGAGCACATCTTCGGGGCATGTTGGTGTACGTCACAACCACTGTAGTTGTGTAAACAATTTAAACACGACTGCTGTGCTGTTTTGTACACCTTGTACTTCTGCACACATATTGTAGGTGTTACCTGCGACATAACGAGAAGGCCAGTGTTGTGTTCATCGACCACTTGGGCTCTCTTTGCTCCTTGTGCTTACAAAAAAAAAAAAAAAAAAACCAGCCTGTGCTGGCACGAGTGCAGAGCCACTGCTGACTTCTTGAGAAACAGCACACTTTTAGACAGGTTAGAACTGATCATTAGCAGCAGATGTTGGGATAATTTCTGTAGGGACAAAACCATGGTGGACAGAATCTGTGTCCTGCATCTGCTAGTCGCTTGTGAATTTCTTGCTTTAGCTCCTGCATTAGTAACCTAAGCGAGTGGTAATTGAAAAGGAGTGAAACGGGTTTGAACATGGTTATATTTTCAGTGTCAAAAGCATATGTCTGTAAATATTCTATATTTTGCCAACAAATCCCATGGAAACAATCAGTGATTTGTTTTATTAACAAGTATTGTTTGCACATTCATTCTTTACTGCTGGATCATGAGGGGAGGGTCAAAATTATAGCCTTCAGCGATATTAAATAGGATTGAAGCTACAGACAAGCTAGAAACTTCTGAAAATACAGTTGGGTTCATAAATAATCCACCACAGTGGATTTTAAGTGAAACAACAGAAATACAGACCTAAAGCTGTAAAAAAGGTTTTAACAGAATTTTGACACTAAGTGTTTGGTTATTAAAGCCATTTTTATGCACAGACTTAAAAGTAACTGGATTGAGTGGGACGGGGGAAAAATCAATACAGCATAGTATCGCGATATTTTGCATGGTAATATTGTGTCAATACAGGGACACCAAACATCAATATTTTATTAAATAAATAAAATACTTTGGGAATAGTTTTATTTATTTTTATCCACAATTTCATCATCTAGAATAAAATGTTTTTTTATTTAAAAAGCTGCTTTTGTTTTGTTTTATTTTATTTATTTTTTTGTAATAAAGAAAATTATTCTCTGTCACCTTAAAGCATCTGTAAATGTAACCATTATATCTTTTTCCGACATTTTAGGTTTCCAAAAACGGTATGGTCAACTCTGTGTTTACACTTTATGAGCTGTCCAATGGTGATGACACAGAAGGTGAAGGTATGGCACCATTTTAAAGTTTTCCACATGGAGAAAGCACCCATAAAACCCAGCTCGCGTTAAAGTAAACATAACATAACACAGTGGCGAGAAAGGCTTTTATTAATGCTGACTGTGCAATAGGTTTCCAGTCCTAGTTTGTTTTAACTGTTTGATTTGTATTGTTTACTCTGTTTCCTGTTTCTGCATGATTTCACCTAGCTGTAGTCCCAAATTGCTGCTTTCATCTCTATTTTTGCACCTAAAGCACTGTTTAATGTTAATAAATGCGATGATAATGAAATGTGCTGCACACATTGACCCAAAACATTATGAAGATATCAGCTTAATATACTGCTTATCCTTTAAGTGCTTAAAAACATCTGTGACCTGCCAAGGCATGGACTTGAAAGAGGCCCTGTGGTAACTAAACCTTTTGCCCGTGACTTGGAGCCAAAAGGTCTTGCTGTGTCAGAGATTCCTGTACCTTAATAATTTGGCTCTTGTCAGAGTGGCTCGGATACCTGCCCATTTCTTACTTGTTTTCTTGCATAGCACACCCTAACCCTACAGGGAACCTATTATACTTACTTCCAGCTACATATGTTTAATCTTGGCCTCCACTAGACCAGATTTGCATGATTCACAGCTTGAAAATAATCCTTATTTACCAAATACCGAACCTTGATGGGGCCTTCAGTTCATGGACTGACTGAAGTATCAAGTATCATACATAGCCAAGAGGAGTGAAAAATGTGCTTGGAGCAGCCCTGAAGC